TCTAACGCCCACCTGGCTAAGCCTCTGTCCTCTGTCCCTGCAATTTTAGGGATCCGAGATCAGTCTCAGTGAATTTAAATTCTCCCAAATTCCTGTGTTTTCTTCCAGGAGTGTTATGGTTTTAAGGTCTCACATTTAAGTTTTTATTCCACTTTTAGTTAATTTTGGTAAGTGGTATAAGGCAAGGTTTTAGTTTCATTTTTCTGTATGCAAATATTAGATTTCCCAAGCTCCATTTATTGAAGAGACTGCCATTTCTCTATTAAGTATCTCGGCCCCTTTGACAAATATTAGTTGACCATATACGGATGGGTTTGTTTTCGGGCTCTCAATTCTGTTCCATTGGTCTATGTGTCTTTTTTTACGCCAGCACCACACTGGTTTGATTAATGTAGCTTTGTTATATACAGGAAATATGATGCCTCCCACTTTGTCCTTCTTTCTCAGGACTGATTTTGCGTATTTGATTAATGTCATTGAACATCTTTTTAATGTGCTTGTCATCTGTATATCCTCTCCAGTGAAATGTCCTTTCTTGTCTTTTGCTCTTTTTTTAATTTCATTTTTAAGATTTATGTTACCTCTAAATTGCCAATGCCTACTAAAAATATTGCTGAGATTTTTATAGTAATTGCATTAAAATCTATAGAAGTGACATTAAACCTATTTTGAGTTTCCCAGTTCATGAACATGGTACGTATCTCTATGTATTTAGGTCTTCTTTGATTTCTTTATCATTTTCATATACAGACATTGTGTATGTTTTACCAGATTGCTGATGTTAGTATCTGTTATTTCTACTGTAAATTTCAAAAATAAACACAAAATATTTCAAGAGATTAGAAAAATTTTATTCATCATCACAAACTGGATTGTATATTATAAATTCTGATCAAAGGAGTAATAGTAAAGGTATTTTCAGTAGTACCACAAATTATTTGTACCTGAAGTAAACTGGTAAGCATACACTAAAATTTACTCATGTTTAAAATATCACTTTGTTTAGAAAATTCACATACATATTTTTCTGATTATGAAGTAGAAGGGACAAAGAGCTACATATGACTTTTACTTAATGGGCACAAGAAATATTCCCCACACTCTGAGTCATAAGAAGGCTACAAAATCTTGTAATTTTTTAAATATGGTACATGAGACAGCATAATTGTTTTATAGAATAAAATACAGTACTTCTCCTAATGCTCCCTTTTAACCTCCTTGTGGGAGCTGCTCACAGTATATAGCTGCTTGGCTGGCTAATGTGTTCTCACATAATCTCTGCACTGAGTTGGAGTGGGAGATGGCAAGAGGGGCATTCTAGGCTAGAAGTTCTGAGAATATAGAAGCAGAGGTTTCTCATTAGGAAAATTTATGCTTGCCTACTTTAGCAATGGTTCCTGTACAAAAGCTATCACCATTGAACTGGTCTGTTTGACTTATGCACTATAGTGAGAATTTCTCTCTGATGGGGAGCAGCTTAAAATAGCATCACATACCCTGTTGATTCTTGCCTAGTTGAGACAGAAGCACAAACCTGGGGAAAGAAGGTGGACATGAGTACTTTCAATGATCTTTTATTAATACTGATGTAATCATTTATTCATCAGGATAGACAACTAAATGAAACTAAGTATTCTAAATTCTTTCCCTCTCCAAATCATGACTTCTATCTGATTTTGGCTGGGCAGAGATTTACTAACAAGGAGGTGAGGGGTTACCTCTAGGAAAAGGTGAAATACTGAGAAAACAACAACAACAACAAAAACAACACACAAAAAAGTCCAGGGTAGAGCAGGCACCAAATCTAGGGAGGTACAGAGAGTGAATTGCTTGAAACTAAAGAACTAGGTAGCATATGAGATAGTATAAGAAGACCCTAGGAGAAAAAAGCTTGACCAATAAAATAAAAATACAAGTTCTTTTTAGAAAAGGAGGCAACTTGGTAAAGTCTCTGAATTCACAAACCATACAATTTGTTCTTTAATACCTTGATGAAAAACTTTTCCTAAAGCAAATTGAGTCATGCAACCTTCTGAGTAAGAATTGTGTCCTGACCCAGTTTCTTTTACTCCTTTTGAAGAATAATTAGAAAAGGACTTGGAAGTAGAAAATGAAAAATTTCTTGAGAACTTCCTTAATCCTAGGCCTGATGCTAAGCATTTATATTTCATTTATTCCTTACTAAAAACCCTTAGAAATACATATCATTTCCCTAATTCACTCATGTGAAAATTAAAGCTGAGAGGTCCTCTACCCTAAATCTCATGTGATGAAGCAGGGATCCAAACTCAGGCCTAAATTAAAACCTGTTGTCTTCTTATGCCAACATACTGCCTTCCCTTAGTGAGATGTCAGAGGTGACTTAGCCCAGGCCTTAATGATAGAGGAAAAGGAAAAAGAAATAGCTGCGGGAAATTTCTTCAGAGAAAGCATTTGGTGGGTCAGAAACTAGAGTTTTTCTATGCTTTAAAGCCGTTTCAAAGGATGATTATGTGTTAGAAGGTGGGAATGTGGCACTTTCTCTGAGTAGGTTTTGAGAGGAAATTTCCCCTGGGGTTTATAACATTGAGGATAAAAGACCTGTTCATTTCCCAGAAGGTGAAAATAGGGGGAGGAAAGGAACATTTGCAGCCTTAAGCTTGTGATATTGGGTGGTTTCAGGCCAGCATGGGAATTCATTCCAAGTGTGTTTCCCAGATACTATTCTGGTCCCCAATCTATAAGCCTCTGCTTTCCTGTAACACCTGCTGTCCACACCTCGCTGTGCTGCCATTTGTAGCCCTGTAAGACTAGAAACAGTGGTTTGGGGTCACAAAGCATAAAAGGAATGAGCACAGTCTGGTTTCAACTAGTCGCATCCATAAGAGAATAGCAATAAAGAGGACGGGGAGAGGCTTCAGATACTGGCACTTAGCAGACTGGTGCTGATGCTTCCTGGGAAGTAGAGGGTGGCAACCGGACACCTCTTGAGCTTCAGAGAGTAGGTACTCCTGGATGTGAAAAGCATCATGACCTGAGGCTGATGTACCCAATGAACGATTTCATTTCACCTTTTGAAGCTAAGACATTTTTCAATAAAGGTATCAAGTTAACCTAAGAATTTTGAACAAGAAACAGTCCTTCTTGACCTCTTTGTCACCTTGGGCGCTCTATCTAATCAGGAAGATAGTAAATGGGGAATGGCAGAAAATACCCTGAATTGTAATCCAGCTGGGGATGAGTTCTCTGTCAAGCATCTCGAGCCGGGTTAGACACACTGTGCTGTGAGCAATGAAACAGGCACGGGCCGGAAGTCATGGCACTCGGGTTTGAGCCTCAGTTGTTTCTTGCTCAAATCACTCATTTCTGGATTTACAATTTAGCTATAAAATAACGGGGTTAGAATGAATGAGGCATGAGGCCCCCTCTGCTTTTAAGATTCAAGAGCAAGGTGGTTTTCACTTGAATGTTGACTTGTTTGGGGGAATGGGCACACCCCGCCACGTGCGGGTCACATTTCAGGTTTACAGCCTGGCCTGCAGTCTGAGGAAAGGCGTCGCTCCCTTTAGCTTCCCTAACATTTAGCTTCCCTTCCTGGACCAAAAGGAAAAGATAGGTAAAGGTGTTTATTGTGCCTACACATCCCTTTACTTCTCACTTAGAATATATAATTAAAGTGACTCAGTAAGAGATGGGGAAGGCAGAGCCACCCCAGCCCACACAGGAAAACGAGGATTTCAGAGTGAGGTATTTGATCAAGTAGGGAAGTCTGAGTTCTTACCCCACTGATATTCAACAGACAGAACCACTAAACCTGATATAAACTTTGCGAACACTATGATCTGGAGTGGGGAACAGTTACCAGGTTTTCCACTTATCCTCATTTTGGAGACCTGGTGTAGTTTTGGAAGAGAGAGGAAATAGGTAGGCTTACATACCATTCAATCCGTTTATAGGCCATACGTGAAAACTATGGAGCTATAATTAATGAACAAATACACTGAAGAGAACATTTAAAACACCAGAGGTATTTCTATGAGTATTTTAGTGTTAAAATTGGGAGTACAAGGACTGTACATCAGAAAATACTAAATGTCCATGATTAGCTCATATTTTTACCTAACAGATGGTTTAGAATGAAAGAAGGAAAGTAAGTTTTGTGAAAAGACAACCCTTTCAACATCGTGTCCGCTAGCATGGTCCCACTTGCACGCTTTGTCAACAAGTGCTATCGGAAGTCAGTGAATATTCTCACGATGGCTAGAAATGCAAGCATTACACACACAGAAGCTTTCTCTTCACTTCAAATATGAAAATGGAAAGTGTATGGAAATGCAGGCATCTTTGACAAGGCTAGAAATGCGCTCTCCTCTCATTGGATGCTGCCCTGTGCTTTAAATCAATTCGACAGCAGGATGCTTATCAAATGAATCTGCTGGCATCTTGTCTTGATGCCACCTGAAATCTGATCACTTGAGTATTAACTCAGAAACCACAACCTTAAAAACAGCACTAACATATAAGCTTAAATGTTGAGAGCAGGAATGGGTCACTCTTTTTAGCTCCTTCCTTAACCTCATGTGGCAAGCCCATCTTCCAGGCCAAACATTCTCTAACATTTGAAAGCACCCAGAGCTCTTCAAAGAGTGAGGGTGTTTCACTCAAAGGAAAACTGGGGTGCTTACCAAAGGGAGGCGGGAAAAGGCAGGCATCTGTCTCACTCATCTCTACTCTCCCCGGTAACCTAGCACTGTACCTGGCACGTGAAGACTCCTCAATAAACTCTAAATGAGAGAATTAAATGGCTTAGGACAGTGGTTGGCAACTGCGGCTCCCGAGCCACATGCGGCTCTTTGGCCCCTTGAGTGTGGTTCTTCCACAAAATACCGACTTCTGCGCATGGGCCACGAAGTTTCAATCGCACTGTACATGCGTGCCCGCACGTGGTATTTTGTGGAAGAGCCACACTCAAGGGGCCAAAGAGCTGCATGTGGCTCGCAAGCCGCAGTTTGCCAACCACTGGCTTAGGAGTTAGAACTCTGAGTTTTCAAATTTGTTTTTCTTTGGCTCCCACTTATGTTTGACAGATATATATCTTTTAAAACAGTTATCCGCCTGTTTTTCAGGAGAAGAATTCTACCATTTCAACCCACTGTCTCAGTATAACTGGATAACCTCATCCCACTCGGAAATTGGCCAGACGCCGTTGGGCTGCACATTGGGGGGTGAGCGCTTCCAGTCCCACGTCTTCACGGGAATCTGCCAGGTCTTCCCATAGTTGGCTTCAATGTATTCGATGGTTTCACAGGGCACATGGACCTTCATGTCTACAAACTCAGTCCAGCACAGTGTAAACCTGGGAAACAGGTATCTGTGGCAAAACAGAGGCAAGGGGGAGAGGGCTTAGGCCTCAACACTGGACATCTTGGCTGAGGAACCCAGCTGTTAGGAACTGTTGGCTGAAGGACAGTCCTCTCCCACTAAGTACCTTTGGGGATAGATGTTTTTGACTGTCCAGCATCTCTTTCCTCTTCTAATGTTAACAGCATCCTAATTTCCCTCCCCTATCCCCAGTCCCAGGAACTCAGGAGGGCTGACTCTACCCCTGGGCTCCACAGACAGGTAAAAAAGGCCCAGGCCTAACCAGTAAACTGTAGCCTCTATTCTCTGTTGGTGTTTTCTGGAAAATGTTTCCTCTCTTCACAACCTGGGAAGACCTTTCAGCAATGAGACTTGAAGTCACAATAGCACATCACAGAAATCTGAAATATCACAGGATTAAAGAACAAAAAAGGAGCAGGGAAAAAAGCCAGATGTCAAAGTATAATCATGGTGGAAATGAGATCTAACTGGGACGTTCTCCAGGGAAAGGTCAGTTCTCACGTATTCTGCTTTTGAATATCATGTTTATCACCAGAACATAAAGCCATGCATGAGGACGAGAGGCTGAACAAGTTCTAAAGAAAGCAACAAGTTCCTTCCACCCAAGCCATGGGTGCTGGCAGTTTAGACAGTCCCAGCTGGCTTCTGAGAAAGCACGGCCACAGCGAATCTCATAGCTGAGGAGAAAGGAAGACAGCATGGCCCCACCATCTGCTGGTCCTACATATACTCGGCACACTCATTTTCACAGAGTTGCTTATTTTGTCATCAGACACATCCATCCATCACTAGCCTCCACCCTCCCCAATCTGAAGCTGGTCAACAGAATGTCCACCTGTCCCATCCTATCAAGTTGACACACTGAAGTTGAAATGAGGCATAAATCATGGTCTACCTAGTAAGATAGGCCAAGAAACTTCTCTCTTAAATATTAGCCTCTACAGTCTCACCAAAACGGTGACAGAAAGAAAAACCATAGGTCCAGGATAGACAGGGTGAATAAGAATACCACAAATTTTACAAAGGTAACATTTTGAACAATAAAAGATTTATGAACAAAACCAAAACATTTAAATGTATAAACAATGTTAAAAGAATTCAAAGACAATTTAACTCAAACATTACTTTTGTCCTAAATAGAGAGATATCCCTAAACTTTTTGTGGTTTTCTTTTCACTAAGTAATTTTCAATCTATTCAGCAAAAAGAAAAATTCCAATTTCCTAGGAGAAAAGATAAACAAACCATAAAATATAAAACTGACTGTAAAATGGGATTGTGGAGAGGAAGGGGGGGTGGTGAGTGACACAGAACACCTGCCATGTTCTCTGTCCAGGTTACCAGTAAACAATGACTAACACACCACACGTCTGTAACGTTGCCTTAGCTTTTAAAGCTAAGAAGTTCAGCTAAGTAGTTTGTACTTTACAGCTCTGATAGGAGCCAAAATGTGAACAGACTTAAATTCAGACAAAGCAACCCTAAATAGAATATAAATTTAAGGGATCTTAACACACACACATACACACACACACTCACTCACTCACTCACTCCTTCCATTCATTTTCTATCTCATATCATTTTTATTTTATTTTTTTTATAAAACAGTAGAGTTTGTTGGAGTAGACCATTTTCCTTCTCACAGACATCCTTAAAATCTGTAAAACTACTTTTTAATGGTTGGATAAAGTAATTCGTCAGTTTAATCATACAACCTATACACATAATTGTTAAAGAAAACACATTTTATTAATTCTAGTTAGCAAGGCTGAGTTAGAGATATTAATTACAATAGAATCTGACCTTTTTAAACATAAGTTCACATTAAACTCTGAAGCTGGAGCAGCAGAGCCATTTTATTAACCACGTGTCTAAAATGGAAACCATCCTCACACGCCACGATAATTTGAACTTAATTAAAAAATCAATTTGCAACGAATATTATAAAAATAAATATATTACTCACGATTTGGGTGTTCGTGAATATTTTCAGCTGAAAATTCTCATGAAAAATAATTTTAAAGTTGGTCAGGGCTGCCACTTAGGGAAAACATTTTTTTTTTTTAATAGACACGCATGGCATGTGGGGAAGTTCCACCGCTTGCATCTACAGACGCTTATGGCATACAATGGGTTAAACAAGAATTTCCTGTGAAACAACACAAATGGTTTATTCTCTTTACCAATTCTGTCTCTTCTTTTAACTCTTAACTTCTTTTCCTTGTGTTATTCCAGTGCCTTAAACCCTCTAGCTTAATAGAAGTAGGGACAGCATGCATTCTTATATTCTTTTCTAATTTTAATAGAAAAGCTTCTAAAGTTTTATCATTAAGTATGACTGCTCACTCTAAGTTTTTGGTATATTTTCTTAACCAGGTTAAATGAGTTCTAGATTTCTTTTATTCCAAGGGTACTAAAAATCCTTCTTTTTATTTTTAATCAGGAATTTTATCAAAAGGTTTAAATGTCATCTACTGAAACAGTCACATAGTTTTTTCCTCTCTTTAATCTTTTAATCCTTTAATGTTGAGAATTATACTAATATCACACAGTACAAAATTGTATTCATTGTGTTTCATTTAGGATATTTTTATCTGTGCTCACTTAGACTATAGTGTCCCTTAAAAAAAAAGAAATGTTCTTTATCTTGATTATTGTAGTAGTTACATAAGTATATGTATTTGTCAAAACTTAAAATGGGTGCATTTAACTATCCTATCTAATAAAGAGGGAATATGCTAATTGAACCTCACACCCTCGCAAAATGGCGGTGCTCACAGCCAATGAGGGAATATGCTAACTGACTGCTCCGCCCTCAAAGATGGCAGCGCCCACAGCCACACGATAGACTGCAGGAGAGGGAAGTTGGGGGCAACCAGGCCGGCAGTGGAGGGCAGTTGGGGGTGACCAGGCCAGCAGGAGAGGGCAGTTGGGGGCGACTGGGCTGGCAGGGGAGGGCAGTTGTGGGCGGCCAGGCCTGCAGGGGAGCAGTTAGGTGTCGATCAGGCTGGTAGGGGAGTGGTTCAGGGGTGATTGGGCTGGCAGGCAGAATTAGTTAGGGGCAATCAGGCAGGCAGGCAGGCGAGTGGTTGGGAGCCAGCAGTCCCGGATTGTGAGAGGGATGTCCAACTGCCGGCAGTCAGACATCCCCCAAGGGGTCCCAGATTGGAGAGGGTGCATGCTGGGCTGAGGGACACCCCCCCCTCCCCAGTGCACAAATTTCGTGTATTGGGCCTCTAGTATGTAAATAAGGGGGAAAAAGCAGGTACAATAAAGCATGCATATAGTAAATACTCAGTAGAAGTTAAACTTCAAATCCTCGAGGCATAATTATTACTTCATTACTGTTCACTGGTGATTAGGACTCTGGAGAACAAAAATAAATATAAAAATGCCAAAATTTCAGAGTAGAATTTAGATTTTAGGTCTGGAGTTAAATCTTGGCCCTGCCATTATGGCAAGATGACCTTGAGTGAGTTACTTCTCTCCTCTGAGCTTCAGCTTCCTCATATCTACTGGGAGTGAGAGCATAAAATCTATAGAGATAATGCAAAGATTATTTGAGATTATAAATATAAAGTACCTATCAAAGTACCTGATATTTAGCAGATACTGCAGTAACTATATCTTTATTGATGCTGTTAATATTATAATTATTATTAAATCTTGAGCCAAAAACATAATTCTGAAGGCAAAGAGTAAAGTTTTGAAAGCGGAAACTTTTTATTCCTTCCTGAGTTTCTCTCCAATCTTTAAAAAATGGTAAGCATTCTATGATATTGTTAAGCTTTTCTCAGAATTAACTGTGTTGAAAAAAGGTAGAATATTATAAAGACCTTTAGACTAGCTCTAAAGGTTTCCCCTGCCCCCATCTAGAAAATACTGCAGTTCTTTAAAGCAAATAGTGCTGAAAAGAATGAAAATGGCATATGGCTGGGGGAATCTTCCAAAGAAACTACTCTACACAGCCATCCCGTTCTTTTCTCTGCCTTTTAAGGTCACGGTAACATGATAGAAAATCTGGGACTCACACCATCTGTCCAGACAGCTCTACCACTGCTCATTTCTCCTGTGAAATCATCAGAACACTTCACACTTCCCAAACACTGCCGCCATAAAGAGCAGTTATAGCAGAATGAACGGAGCTCTTTCTATCTAGAAACGAAGTGCTTAGAAATGAACAGTTCTTTTGAGGTTTATGGGTTTCAGATCATGTCAGTGAGAAGACATACAAGACTTAGAAGAAAATTTAAGAATAACAAGATTATCATACTGGCTCTAGAAATTATCTTTCTTAGAAAAAGGTGATATTCTCATATGAGTTCTCTAAGAATAGATTTGGCAATTCAATCTCTAATTTCTCATAAGACTAAGAAGAGGAATAGTTTTCTTTACCACCACCACCACCACTAATAATAATATTAATAATAGCAGCTAATAATTATTTAACACTCAGAACATGCTTATTCTCTTCAAAACCCTTCAGTCTATTAACTCAATCTTCAAAACCACTCTATGTAGCAGTTTCTATTATTATTCCCATTTCACACTCAAGGAAACTTAGGTACAGAGGAGTTAAATAACTTTCCCGAGGTAATATATCCAGCTGGTCAAATGTAGAGCCGGGATTCAAAAGCAAATGGACTGCCACCATGCCTTTAATTTCTATGCTAAACTTTCTTATAGATTTTTAAAAAAAGCCTCTAAATTATACATGCAATTTGGCATCTTTATCACATTCTGAATAAACAAACTGTGTCTGAATGTCAAAAACACCACCCCCCATTCACCTAGTCACAATGAGAGTGTCAATTATATATTCATTAACTTATCATCAGAACTTACTCAGCATGAATGTGCTTATCAAAAAGAAAAATAAGTTTTTATCTATATACTAGAGGCCCAGTACATGAAATTTATGCAAGGGAGGGGGCCTTCAGCCCAGCCTGCTCCCTCTTGGGACTGCTGGCTCCTAACCGTTCGCCTGCCTGCCTGCCTAATCTACCCTAACCACTCTGCCTGCCTGCCTGATCACTCCTAACCACTCTGCCTGCCTGCCTGATCGCCTGTAACTGCTCATCTGCCTGCCCGATCACCCTTAACCGCCTCTGCCTGCCTGTTTGCCCCTAACCGCTTGCCTACCTGCCTGATCGCCCCTAACCACTCACCTGCCTGCCTGATTGCCCCTAACCGCCTCTGCATGCCTGCCTCATTACCCCTAACTGCCTGTGCCTCGGCCCCTGCCATAGCGGCTTCGTCTGGAAGGACGTCTGGAAGGTTGTTCGGCTGTCTGGTCTAATTAGCATATTACGCTTTTATTATTATAGAAGACATAAAAGCCTAAGCAACTGTTATGACAAAACGACTGGTTACTATGATGCGCACTGACCACTAGGGGGCAAATGCTCAATGCAGGAGCTGCTCCCAGCCCGCAGGCCCCGATCGCCAATGGGGCCTGCCGGCCAACCTCTTGGTCTTTTCCCCCGGCCGGCAGGCCCTGATCGCCTGATCGGGACTGGGCCCCCAGGCTGGGGTGGGGAATTGGAGGTGGGTGGTGGTGAACATGGCCCCTTTCCTAGGGGGCCCGAGGGCCGGATCCCTCCTTGGGGCCAGCGGCCAACTTCCTGGGTCCTTCCCTCATTTCCTCTCCCCGCCCGGCAGGCCCCAATTGGCCCACTGCCCACCCACCTCGGTGGTGGTTGGCCCCTCTCCCTGGCCAGCAGGCCCCAATCGCCCAATCGGGGCCAGGCCCTGGACTGGGACGGGGAACCGGGGTGGGTGGCGGTGGACACAGGCAGCGAGGGGAGGAGGAGGTGGGGAGGCGGGGAACCTGATCAGCCCTGATCGCCAGACAGACCTAGGGACCCCACCTGTGCATGAATTTTGTGCACCGGGCCTCTAGTAATATATAAAAAGTTTTAAGAATATGCTCTGAGGTCAGTGTCAACTTGGGAATGCTTTATAACTTTGAGAAAAAAGGTTTGGATTATCTCAAACCTCCAGACCAAGATTAACTTTACATGAAGGCTCCTTGCCTTCAAAAAGGACCCAGCAATTCCAGGAGGGTATGCCACCGTGCACAGGAGAAACGAGGCTGAGTGTGGATTCCCCTTCTGTGTTACAGAACATTCCCCACTGTGCCCAATGGTTCCATGTACTCAGTGATCGAAGCCGCAATCTCAGCTAGTTGGTGAGGTAAGTTTATGCCACTAATTAATATCATGACCGTCTAACTGCATTACTAAGGAGAGCACAGTTACTCTAAAGTTATTTCTGTCTTTTCTCATCAAGGACTTTTTCCATGGCAGCATTAAAAATGTTTAAAATGCCAAACTAACATACTACATTCCTTCAGCTCTGAGATCCCTCCCCCCAAATTTTTCCATCTGTGACTCATGTGTCTTACGATTATAATTGGCAGTTTTCCTTTCTTAGTAGCACATAAAATAATAGTGCATCTTACAATGTATATCATCTTACATTTGACAAAATATGGTAGCTGTTATGCCCAATGGGCATCTTTCAAGGATTAGCCCTCAGCCTCTGTTACGGGCACAGATCAGAGCTTGCCCAGCACTCATGGCCTCATTCAATCCCAATTTCCTCACTTCTCCTTCACTTCATCATGATCTCCTCACTGATCTTTACCCATCCCCAACCAATTATCAAACTCCTACAGCTCTAACGGTCAATCTGTGTTCCTTGTTTTGGTTTTATCTGATAACTCAAGGGCTTCTAATCATAATGACTCTCTGAACTGACAAACCCAGGGACACTTCCTCCCACAGATGTCCTGATAGGTGGTTCTTACATCACAACATAACTGGGCTCTAAGGGTAAGCTGAGAAAGTGTTAGTTAATACCGGAGCCTTGACAGAGTCCCCCCACCCAACCTCTGAATATTTCTATAGCCCCTTTTATAAGTACTTATCTGAATCATACTTAAATTTTTTTCCTGTTTTGGCCTGAGTGCCTCCATTCCACATATGGTCAGTCTCTTCATAGAAGAAAAAGATGTCAAGTTTTACATCATCTTTTCCCTGGAAAGATAGTTCCAAGCTGTCTTCTACCTAGAGGGAAGATGAAAACCTTCACAGACTGAAACAAAGGAAATATATATCTTTTTAATTAAAAAGATAATGTTTTATATAGAGTATTGATTTTAAGATACATGTGTTTTCAAGTTGGAGCACCACTGAAATTGGGATGCATCAGTAGCACAGCATCATTTCATTTCTTTCTTAAATGCATATAAAATAATGGTGCTTCTTACAACTGATGACAACTCAGGGTAATGACTTAACAGTAGCTAAATTATCTCTGTGCAGAATTTCCTGTTCCTGAGCCCTTTTCTGACTAAAGAAAGAAAAGAACCAAAGACAAATCACTCCCTTTAATAATCAACTATAAGGAAATAAGTTTTTCATTATAATCAATAAATAAGTACTTGTTCTATTACAGAAATCCATATACATACAATATGTACATGAAAAACATAGATAAAAAAAGGTACAACGAATTTTGAGAGTATTTTCCTAAGAAATTTATCCTACAAATAATTATGTTCCTATTGGACTTGGTGCCTCTGTCTGTTACAGAATCAATCACATAATTATTTATGCAATTTTTCTTCCAATTAGTGAACTTCTCAAAGGTAAGGACTATAACTTACTCATCTTATGTCCCAGGTGCTGACCACAGTGTCAAGCATAGAGTGAGGGTTGAGTAATGTCTGCTGAATGACAAGAGTTCTATTGCTTCGATTTTAATCACAGGAAACATTGTATTAAATTTTCTTAATAAACTAGAATGTTTATGATAAGGAAAGTAATTTTCCAGTGACTAAAATACTTCTACTTTATTTCCTGGACAACACTATTCTGGAAACAAGAAACTAAATAGGAAGGTGATTGCAAGGGATCATAGGCTTAGGGCATAGGAATCAAATTGTCTAGAAGATTTCATCTAAGTTGCAATGACCTATTCCTAGCTGACCTGAGAAAATTGCTGTGACCTAGGGCAGATGAAATAAACAAGAAGTTCAAGTACTGTTTGAAATGAGTCTGTATTTCTAACCCTTAGCAATCAATGAAATGTTTTGTGTTGATAATGATATGATGCCAAAGTGAACATAAAATTAAATTACTCATGAGAGACAATATAACTTTAATAGGGTAGATGGGCTTCTTATATTAATTGTTTATTACATGTTGTATTAACTATATATTATATTGTTCCCTAATATAATGGGAATAAATTCATCTGCAAGAGTACAAGGTCTTTCTCTCCTTATCACTGTTAACAGAAAACCAGATTTCCTCTTTTTCCTTAGATAGTGCAGAGGTCACAAGTGGTCACAAGCTTCTGCTGCACTCATCCTGGCGAATACCGAGTGACAAAATGACACAGCAACATTCTTAATCATTTCCAAGGTAATTCAAGTTTTACTTTTGAGACATGTTACTTATGAAGTAAAGCAGACTTTTATTACTGACCTTCCCGAATTTGTGTTTGAGTGGAAGTCCTGCATCCTGAAATGCTGAAATAATATTAGATCGGTAATCTTGTATAAAAATTCCTAGGTCAACATCTTTACTATAAGGAATAATACTGCATTGCCGATACCATCCTAAAAGTAAATAAAAAAAGAAAAATGAGAAAACTTAAAAAACAACAACAACTGAGTTTAGAAAAAATCAGTCATTATTATAATGAATGATCTCTGTAACAGTGGATTTTATTTCATAGGAGTAGACTTACGGTGCTTCACTAAAATTATTATTATTTTTTTAAATTATTATTTTTAAAAAATATGTTTTGGTTGATTTTAGAGGGAGAGAGAGAGAGGGAGAAAAAGAGAGAGAGAGAGAGAGAGAGAGAGAGAGAGAGATATGAAAGGAGAGAGAGAAAGAGAAACATTGATAAGAGAGAAACATTGATCGGCTACCTCCTGCACACTCCCTATTGAGTATTGAGACTGCAACCAGGGCATGTGCCCTGACTGGTCATTGAACCAGGTGACCTCTTGGTGCATGGGACAACACTCCACCAGCTGAGTCACACTGGCCAGGGCTTACTAAAATTATTTTAAAAAATTAAATCCTAAGATAAAATATGTGGTTATAGGACCCACCTGTTGAAGAATCTACCTTCCCTCCCTTCCTTCCCTTCCCTCCCTCCCTTCTTTCCTTTTACTAGTCTGAGCACTAAGCATCCTCAAAAACTTTCATAATGTATTTAAAATTTATCTTTATTGTTGAAAAGTATTACAGATATCCCCTTTGTGTGTTTTTTTCCCATTGACCCCCTCCACTCTGTACCTGCACCTCCCAGGCCTTCACCACTCTACTGTCTGTGTCCATGGGTTATGCATACTTATAGATATAAAAGTCTAAGTGACTGAATGACCGATCACTATGACATGCACTGACCACCAGGGGGCAGATGCTCAATGCAGGAGCTGCCCCCTGGTGGTCAGTGTGCTCCCACAGCAGGAGTGCTGCTCAGCTGACCAATGGGTGCCAGATGCCAGGCTCATGGCTGGCAAGCACAGCTGCGGCGACGTGAGCCTCTCCGGCCTCTGCGGCAGCGCTATCGAGTGACAGCGGTGGCAGGCGCAGCAGGGCTGGGATGAACGGGAGCGGTGCGGCACCCAACCCAGGCTCAAGTTCAGGCTCCTCCCCAGCTGCCTGCAGCTTCGCACACTACTACATTCCTCGGGGGATGTCAGACTGCTGGTTTTGGCCCAATCCCCAGAGGCCAGGGCCTGGATCAGGCCAAAACCAGCAGTCCGACATTCCCTGAGGGGTCCCAGATTGCAAGAGGGCTCAGGCCAGGCTGAGGAACCCCACCAGTGCACAAATCAGTGCACTGGGCCTCTAGTATATATATAAATTCCCCGGTTAATTGCTCCCCTCCCACACCCCTATCACCGCCTTCCCTCTGAAATTCATCAGTCTGTTCCATGCTTCTATGTCTCTGGTTCAATTTTATTTATCAGTTTATTTTGTTCATTAGATTCCAAAGTATTTTAATTTCTGAATAAACTATTAGCTTTAATAATCTTAACTGAGTCATCCATTTAAAAAAATTAAATTACTTTTGATAATGTTTAATCATAAACCTCTAATGATGAAGGCTGCCTTTAAGATAAGCTAAAAAAATATAATTTAGCCCAGCTGGTGTGGCTAAGTGGTTGAGTGTCGACCTATAAACTAGGAGTTCAGAGTTTGATTCCCAGTCAAGACACATGCCTGGGTTTTGGGGTTGATCCCCAGTGTGGGGTGTACAGGAGGCAGCCGATCAATGATTCTCTCTTGTCACTGATGTTTCTGTCTCCCTCTCCCTTCCACTCTGAAATCAATAAAAATATATTTTAAAGAAAAAAAATATATGTATATATGTACATATATACATAAAATTTAATTCTTTTGCTTAAATATCTCTTTACTGAACAGTAGTTCGTAGAACTTAAGAGTTCTGAACAGCTCATGTCCGATGGATCATAAAAAAAGAAGAGCAGTATCAACCTCAATTTTCAGCATGTCCAAAGGTATTTCTAGGTATTTACTATGTATCTACTTCTCAATCAGATGCTACAGTACTATTCTAAAAAACCCCACAAAATTTATACCTTAATATTGCTAAGAGTTTCTCAGTCTCCCCTATTATCCTTCGACACCTTCCATCCAAATTATTTAAAAAGTATATAAAGGCCTACGATTATCTTTGTAGGTATTGCCACTGGGCAATACTGTTTGGAATTCTAAACTTTCATTTTATTTTAACACCAGTGTTCCAGTGCACGGATTCGTGCACATTGAAAGGAAATTAATTAGAAAAAATATTTTAACATCGCTATTTGCCCTTTCTCTATAATAAAAGTGTCAACCAAATTCACGATCAACAATGACAGATAGAAACACTCGTGTGTGATTGGCACCAGTAAGAGCTTTATATGTATCGCACATGTGGGAGTCAACTTAGCCTTTTATACATATAGAATAAACTTGCTTAATTAGACCTGCTTTCTGATTTAGCTAAATTTTTTCCAGCCCAGTGAAGCACCCCAACTTCTCTTTCAGGTAATTGTCAGCAACACAGCAGTAATATCAACATGAAGCAGATTATTATTGTAGATCATGCAGGGAGAACCAAGGGTAAAATATTTAACTGCAGCAGTGTTTGACTATATTCTGTGCAGTGAGAAAACCTGAAGTCATTTTCAAGGTCCACCATTTCTTATTTCTTTTCAGTCGGGTCAAGTTTCTAAACTTTCTAAATCTCTGTTTTCTGGCTAATGAAAAGAAAATAGAATTCTACCAAGTCTCCTATCTACCTACTCCAGGACATCTGTGAGGATCAAATGAGATGAGGCACGGGAAAACATTTCACAGACATTTAGTTATAGTGTGATATGTTTCCACCTGGCTATAAAGCAAGCCGTGTTCCTGGGCTGAAGAAACTCCAAGGAGGCTAGTTGCTAGGGAGAGGAAGCTGGGCATTGCTATGTGATGTCATTACCTGGCACCCACAGCGACCATTTCTGGGCTGTGCTGTGGGCTGCATTTTGTGCCATGGGGTCTTGGCAGCATTGGCTGTGATTTGGTGGGGTGTTGCTCCTGGGTGGTGGCGGGGCCTGTGTCCCATTTGGGGGAAGCTGAGTGTTGGTTTGTCGGCGCCAGGTCTGTGGTACCGTTTATTTTTATTATTTATTTATTTATTTAAATATTTTATTGATTTTTTTACAGAGAGGAAGGGAGAGGGATAGAGAGATAGAAACATCGATGAGAGAGAAACATCAATCAGCTGCCTCCTGCACAACTCCTACTGGGGATGTGCCCGCAACCAAGGTACATGCCCTTGACCGGAATCGAACCTGGGACCTTTCAGTCCGCAGGCCAATGCCCTATCCACTGAGCCAAACTGGTTAGGGCCCGTTTATTTTTAAATGGCCAGTGTGCATCATGGCAGCTCCTGCATTGAGTGTCTGCCCCCCTGGTGGTCAGTGCATGTCATAGCTGCTGGTCAGAAGGACACTTAGCCTTTTAGATATATAGACTAGAGCCCAGTGCATGAAATTCGTGCACGGGGCCGGGGGGGAGGGGGGAGGATTGTCCCTCAGCCTGGCCTGCATCCTCTCGAAATCCAGGACTCCTCGGGGGATGTTGGGCCTAAACTGGCAGTTGGACATCCCTCTCCCAATCCGGGACACTGCATGCACCAGCAACCATACTTTTCATATCTTGCTGTTGTATGGGCAGCTACATATTTTTGCCCTGATTATAAAAAGTAGTACATAACATGATCCTTCTGAGGCAGTAGTACCATTTTCCCCATCTTATGGGTGGAAAAACTGAAGCAGAGAGAAGTTAAGTAATTGGCTTTGTCACAGAGTTATAAGTGTCAGAATCAGGGCTGACCAAAAATGTGCAAGCCAGAGTCCATGCATGTCATCGCTGCACCATCCTGATTTATCAGTGTTAGAGTAGCCTTTCCAGGTTTCAATTTTTAAATCTAAGAGACTAGAGTGGCGCAGCGGAAGCGTGCTGGGCCCATAAATCTAAGAGACTGTTCCCAATATATAGGGTAGGGTCCCTAGACCTGGCCAGTGATCAGGGCCATCTGTGGGGCGACCAGCAGGTGGGGCAATCGGGGGGCCCCCGCTGGCACCTGCCTTGGCTGGACTGGCACCACCCACTCGCCCAACCCACCCCCTGCTGCTGCTACAGGTTGGGGCCTGCAGGCTGGGGGCAGCTCTGTGTTGAGCGTCTGCCCTCTGGTGGTCAGTGTGCATCATAGTGACTGGTTGTTCCACCAGTCATTCCACCATTCGGTCGATTTGCATATTAGGCTTTTCGCTGCCGGTCACCTCCCTCTCAGGGGGCAGACGATCAACGCAGGAGCTGCCCCCAACTGGTGGTCAGTACTCGTCATAAAGACTGGTATTCCACTGTTGGTCAATTTGCATATTAGGGTTTTATTATATAGGATGGATCTTCAGAAGCCTAAGATGAGGGGAGGGGGTCTCACTGTAGTTTGAGAAAAATCTACAATCCACATTTGTAAAAGAATCATAAACTATTAAAAATGGAAGGCTCTTAAATATAATCTAATCCAACTCCCTCATTTCATAAATAAAAAAAACCATGTGGCTAAAATCTCAAAACACACCATGACAAATAATTAAGAAGTATTTTTGATGAAAATCAGTAAAACAATTTTGCTTCAAAAGTTAAACTTTAGAGCATATATCACATAAGTGTGTGAGATGTACTCCTTTTTGGCTTACTCTAGCTGTAAACTCCTTGTCGGGAAAAACCATGTGAATTTTCCACAAAGTCTAATAGACAGGCTAACCAAATATCCCAGTCTAGGCCTGTTGTCCAACATAATTATTATTATTTTTTTTTTTCAGGTGCAACATAATTATTAATGGGATTCCCTTTCACTTTCAAAGGTCTCTTGAGTTAGAAATAAATGATACGGAAATCCTATGGAAGCAGGAGCGAAATTAATTTTTGTACACATAGTTATAATCAAGAAAGAACACAGTTATAACTAACTACAGTTATAAACAAGAGGGAATAAAAACAACAACATTTACGATTCTAAAATTTGAAATTCCAAAGGAGTTTAATCCAATGCACAGTGGAAAGAGAGCCAGAAATCTTTCTCAGATTCTAACAGCAACTTGCCTAAGCGTCTACATTCCCCATCTCAGAATAATTAGAACATGCTAAGGTAGTGCTGCCCAATCAGTGATGCTACCGATGACCTGGAAAGGCTTGTGGAAGACCTTATGGCACTCCCCTCAGTCTTTATCTCAGTAGCAACTTTTGGTGCAAGTAAGTTGTTTGTATGATGTGTAAAGAAAATGAATAGTTTTTGTTTAAATGCAACAAATAATCTTTGGGATAGAAATAATAAAATGCTAATGTAAGGCTTACCTGAGAATCAAGTATACAGGTTCTGATATAAATTTTATACACATGAATTATAATTTTTGGTAAACACACATATGGCCTTCCTAACTCACTTTTATGCTTCTGAAATTAATTTCTTTAAAGAAATCAATAAATTCTTGCTCCATGCTCTATATTTATTCTATCTATAAATATGACACTTAAACTATCACTGATATTTTGCCATCTCAAGCAGTCATTCCTAAAGGGAAAGAGGGCAAAATGACACAAAGACAAATGTAAAGTAAGAATTTTACCTAGACAAGTCCCACTGCTCAGCCAGAACCGTACTCCCAATTTCTTTAATGTTTTGGCTGCAAGTTGCAACAATTCCTTTGCACTCTTCCGAAAGGCCACAGCTTCCACAGTGCTATCGTCAAGGTACTGCTACAGATATAATAAATGGTCAGCTATTATTGCCATTTCTAAATTGCTAGTAACATTTCTGTGACATCCAAGTTAAATTTGAAAATTAGCCCCATATATTTTTCTATTATAAAAATGAAGTTTCAGAGTTCTCTGTTAGTCACACATTTCTTTTATAAAATAAGACTACAGGAGTAGATTCTAGGAGACAAGTTAAAGGGGAGGAACACAACCAAGATGAGACTTACACCTTTATTAACTCCCTCCTATACATCACAATTTAGCAGGCTGGGCAAGTAGGGGAAAAGAAGGCTAATTCTGAGTGCTACCAGCATATCTGAAGCAAAATACAATCTGAGTCCAGGTGTCCAGATATTTCCACATTCCCTGCTTGTTTCTCACTGGAATTCAACAGACTGGAGCTCATTAATTATTTTTTGATAATTAACAAAATCAAGTTCAGAAAAAAATGTATGTTACCCTACTTCTAAACTTCTTGGTAGATTGAGAAAATAATTAAAACTAAACAAAGGAAGTCAGGAGAGCACTTCCTTCCCCCTCCACCCGCCAAACTATTCAAAACCAGAGCCATTAGGTGAGGCAGAGCCAGCAAGTGCACAGTGGTGGTCTGTTTAAGTATCAGAACCTGAGCCAGTGATGAGGGCTCCACATGGAGGCCTGTCCAGCGGGGGAGCCAGTGCCTGAGCAGGGTGAGAAGTGTGTCTGTGTAAGGGCAGTCCAGTGGGGGATAGCAACATCTCAGCAGGGAAAGGACAGCAGTCACACAGGAGAGGGGCAACAGAAATGATGGGAGATTCAACAAATAAGTACATAGATACGTTAAGGATAATAGAGTCAGGTTTCTCACTGTTTGAGAAGGGAATCACAAATATGGAAATAAATTAATTAGACTGGGGATATCAATGTGAATACACACATACACATACACATACACACTCTACTCCTGTCACCAGGAGAACCTGTGTGCAGCAAAACCCAAATAGCAACAAGCACAACTAGCATCCAGACTAAGAGAAATAGTTGATTCCAGGATTGTGGCAGGGAAATTTACAATACGAACCTAGTACATCTTGTGCCAAAAATAAGGAAGTGCTCAAAAAATGACAGAGACCCATCAAAATCACACAGAAGCCATTGGGAAGGGGTTCCCAATGGCAATATGGGACAATTATGAGACCAAAATAAATAATGAAAATTCATTGAAAGAATAGGAAACCATGAGTTCATACTGGTATAAACAAATAAATAAATTGAAAGTTTGATGATGATATTGACAATGTTTACATAGTTTTAAAGTACCTTCATGCCAAATACTATTAATTACAACGGTAAAAAATAGAAATTTCGCCCTAACAGTTTTGGCTCAGTGGATAGAGCGCCAGCCTGCGGACTGAAAGGTCCCAGGTTCGATTCTGGTCAAGGGCATGTACGTTGGTTGTGGGCACATCCCCAGTAGGGGGTGTGCAGGAGGCAGCTGATGATGTTTCTAACTTTCTATCCCTCTCCCTTCCTCTCTGTAAAAAATCAATAAAATATATATTTTTTAAAATAGAAATTTCACGGGGGTGAAGCCAAGTGCTCAACTTGAATGTCAACAGCAATGGAACATATCAAAGTTGTGCAGCACCTGGGAGGATATAATGAGAAGAGCATAGCATCACATCTGTGTGAGCCCAATAAAGCTTATAACCTGAATCTAACATGAGGAAGGACCAGACAAAACCCCAAATAAGGGACAATTTTTAAAACTCAAAAGTAACAAGGTCATGAAAGTCAAAAAAGGACTGTGAAACTGTCCCAGACTGGAGGAGACTAAAGAGACAAGGGAATTAAACACAATGTGATGCTAAACTGAATCCTTTTGTTATAAAGGTCATTATTAGGTTGGAACAATTAGAAAAACTTGAATGAGGATTAAATAATCTGTATGTTAATTTCCCAATGTTTGTATTAATACCTATAGAGAATATTCTTGCTTTTAGGAAATACTAAATTATTTGAAGTTATGGGGGATATGGTCTACAACTTACTCCCAAATGGTTTAGGAAAAAAAATTATCTGTATTATATTTGCAACTTTCCTAAAAGTTTGGGAATTATTATTTTTTAAAAAAGTTTGGAGGCTGCTTTTATGAGATTTTTAGATTAGTTGCTTGTTTTACACAGGACATTGCATTTAAGACTGTTTGGCGCCATCAAGTGCTCAAAGTTATGTATGTTTGCTTCCATTTGAAAACAGACCCTCCTTGTCTTTTAATTATGGTTTTAACTTAAGAAATGATGAAGAATGAAACATGTGAGAGGATAAAAAATTTAGAAAGTTATCCATCCAATCAGGCACTTTATATTAGTAATACCAATACACTAGCAGAATCACAAGTCTGTTTTGAAGCAGTGAAGGACACATAACATGGTGAAGAATGGATACAGAATTCCACCTGGTCATGTTACAAATATCAATCTCCAGACAGCATTGTAGTCTTGCTATGTGATGGTATTTAAACATAAAAACTATGAGGCTGTGATAAACGGATCAGCCCTCTGAACATTGGTCATCTATACTTTTTGCTCAAATGCTGATTTTTCCCCTCAAAATCTCAAAAGAATGAAAATATGCAATTAAAAAATATGACACTATCCCTATGATTTCTCAATAGTTTGAAACACTTAACATTTTACACTGCCTTCCCATAAAGATCTACAAATGAGTCTGGGCAAATGCTTGCTAGTAATAGAGTAGCTCTAATAAGTGTCCCTAAAAAAAAATCATTTAATTCAAATGAGCACATTCTTCTCCAGGCATTTTGCCATGATTGTACGATTTTTGTGTGTGCCAGGTACCATGCTAGATACTGGGGCTATGAAGGTGAGTAAAATAAGATGTCTGCCATCGAGAAGTGCATATGATCTAGTAGGGGACAAGACAGACATTCACAATTCACTGTCATAATTAGCATGCCAGAGTAGCTACCAGAACAAACTCCCTTAGTGCAGAAAGGGTGAACGGTCAAGTTCAAGCATCAGACCGCATCTCTTCTGCTTCTTGATACTACATGGGGCGGATATGATGGGCAGCACTTTAAGGAACAAGATTAGGAAGGCTCACTTGGGCCCTTAAGCCTAGGTCCTAGAGGTCAGCACAGCTGACCAGAAAAACCTCACATTTGCTGGTGCTGGGCACTTGACCAGTGATGATGTAGCTGGGACATTTTCCCATGCTGCTCCTGTCCCTGTGTACACACAAGGGAACCCCAGAAATAAAAAGCAGGTGGAAGAAGTAGGGTACCAAAACCCCACTGTGAATTTCACTGTTTTCCCATTATTTCTGTTTCATGTCATCTCTTAGAGCTGAACTTTCATGCCCTTCAAAATCATCTTTATATCCCCAGGGTCAGCAGAGTTCCTGGGAAATAGGCTTTCAATAAATGTTTATTGAGTTGAAAGCTAGGGCAGCAGAATAAAGTAAAGTTCAAAAGCACTTGGTCTTTGTGTAGCATTTATCTTAAAAAACCCTCATAAACACAAAAGTTTCATATTCAGTGTCAACCCTCTGAGAAAAACTGTATTTTCCATGAAATATTCTCTAAGATTTTTTCCCCATGGTCCATCTTCTGCAGTGGCTTCTTCCTCGTTGGAGTGCTTCAAGAACAGAATATGCCATAAAGTTTACAGGCTGTCCTAACTAAAATCAGAGGCCAGTGCTAAACCTACCAACGTCTACCCAAGTAAACGAGGTCTCCATACGTATCAAACCATATCAAATATTTTCTGAAGGTTAATGTTTAACCTACTTTTTAAAAAAATTAAAAGAAAATAATCTAGAAGAAAATAGATGAATCAAAAAAATGTTTTCTACCCATTTTCCATAAGTCCCTTTATTCCCATCCCTACCCCCAGAACTCTTAAAAACAAACACACTTCCTTTAATTTAAAAAGTATATTACTTGGTTATCTCTAACCTGAAAGAATGCCCGAGCTTCTTTATACCTACACTCAATAAACCTAGAGTGTGGTATTTCTTCTAGAAAGTGCATTGGATCTTTTGGAATGAGAACTTCTAGTCCATCAACAGTAATCTGTTGTAATTCTGGCCTGAAAAACAAAAGTTAAGATTTATTATAAGGATTTAACACAGAGTGAGTACTGGTAGCCTCCTCAAAATATACAACGTAAGCAAAATAGCTCAAAATCAAGCATATTTTCTTTTTTTTAAAAAAAATATATTTTATTGATTTTTTACAGAGAGGAAGGGAGAGGGATAGAGAGTTAGAAACATCAATGAGAGAGAAACATCGATCAGCTGCCTCCTGCACACTCCCTACTGGGGAGGGGCCCACACCAAGGTACATGCCCTTGACTGGAATCGAACCTGGGACCCTTCAGTCCGCAGGCCAACGCTCTATGCACTGAGCCAAACCAGTTAGGGCAAGCATATTTTCTTTAATTACCTCAGATATCACTTTTTCAGATCTACTCTCTTAGCAACTTTTAAATATTCAATGCAGCAGTGTTATCTATAGTCACCTTGCTGTACGTATATTATACCCCAAAACTTATTTCCCTCATAACTGGAAGTCTATTCCGTTTGACTACTTTTACTATGTAAGTTTGAAGTTTTGATAACTACAATCATAAGGTTTGCATTCTTTTATGCCTTGCTTCTGCCACTCAACAATGCAGGATTCATCTATGTTGTTGCACAGAGCACTAGTACATTCGTTTCTCTGCTCTACACTACTACTGGTTGTATAAATATAGAATGATTTGTTTGGGGGCATTAAGAAGAATGTTGCTATGAACATATTTATATATATTTCCTGGTGCATTTGTGCGGGAGCTTCTTCCTGTTGAATATTAACATTTCAAAACTGAGTTATGTGAACTACATATTAGATGCAATTACTAAATGTAAAAAAAAAAAAATAATAATTCATGACTGGACGATATAGGTTTCACATGTCCCCTTCAGACCCTGAATTTACCTGTCGAAAGCTCCTGGATAACGACCAAACTGTAACTTTCGAAAAGGAACAAACTTCTTGTCGATGTTTCCTTTGAGGCGCAGATGGCCATGCCAGAGGTAGTTGCCACTCCTCTCGTGAAAGACCACCACGTGAATGGCGTGCGTGGCCAGTTTACAGATGTAGTGCAGGGGGATTTCAGTTCCAGAAAGTGAGTCTATCCCATCCAGCCGGGGATCTTTGCTCTCGATCTTCAGGCACTGAAATCCCATGTTTTCAGCTATCCGAAACCAGCCTTCCTAAAACCAAAGAAACATCAAGCATGAATATTTAAAACCAAGTACTAGCAGCAAAACTAAAATGATTTATACTGAATTAAGCCATACATATTTTTGTGCTAATCTGTTCTTTGCCAGAAGATTTGAAAATGAGGGTGGTGAGGGGAAGGAGATAGTGGGAGAAAAAAGAAAAGTAAGAAGAGAGAAACTAAGTAGCTTGGAAGACATGTTCAAAGACTCTCTTCACGAAAATAAATATAAAATTTTTCCTTGAAATGAGAATGCTCATTTTAGTGGTTTCTGATTAGTATCTATAAAATAAATGTTAGGATAGCACTTAAACTAGTAATTCTCAATTTAACTTCTAATAACCTTTATCTTTAAACGTACTTGAGAAAAGTATACTTTCGTCCTATAGTTTATATCCTGAAGAAGCCCATTATAATGCAAATCAATAGAAAACAGACTAAGACATACTATAAAACAAAGTGCATTTTCCAACATCATTAGTTACTAAGGCCCGGTGCACAAATTCGTGCACCGGTGGGGTCCCTTAACCTGGCCTGTGCCCTCTTGCAATGTGGGACCCCTCGGGGGATGTTGGGAGAGCCAGTTTTGGCTCGATCCCTGCAGGCCAGGCCGAGGGACCCCACTGGTGCACGAATCTGTGCACCAGGCCTCTAGCATGCATGTAAGATCTTTGGTTAATCTCTTCCTGCCCTCCCCTCTCCCCCTTTCCCTCTGAGATTCATTAATCTGTTCCATGTTTCCATGCCTGTGTGTTGAGCATCTTCCCCTTGATGGTCAGTGTGCGTCATAGTGACTGGTTGAATGGTTGGACACTTAGCATATCAGGTTTTTATTATATAGGATAACATAAATCTCACAAGACAAGACTAATGTAGATGGTAGATTCTTAGTCCTAATCTCAATAACCAGTGCTATAGATGATTAAACAGTGTTAATGATGAAGAACACCTTACATTTGAATAGAATTTATAATATTCAAGGAACTTTTATAAACATTATTGCATTTATTTATGACATCTATCCTCTAAAGTAAGTAGCAGAGGTATTATAAAGAAGCAGACTCACAGAGCTCTGAAAAAAAAAAACACACCAAAATTAATAATACCAGCATTTATGTATTATCCAACCAAATCCAAGGTTCATTCACTCTGTAGCACTACCTTGATAGTCTATATTTATACAATGTGTACAAAGCTCATTCACAATCATTATCTCATCTGAGGCCCACAAAACGATGTGAGGTCAGCAAGGAAGATGTTTTGCCTCCTCTACAGTTAAGGAAAACGAGCTCTAAGTGATAATACCAGACATTAAAGTTATTAAATGGTGGAGCTGTGTCAGGAAGTTTGCATGTTTCAAGAGGACTGTATTCACATCACTTATCACCTTTGAACATTGTCATTTGGATTAGATGTAGCCTCATCTATACTCTTGTAACACACAAACCCCTATCATAGTATTAACTATAGTTTTTAAAACTATTTGTTTAAACTCCATTAACAGACCAAGTTCCCCAACCATAGCAATCAACAGAGTGGCTAGTACCCAGCAGGTACTCAATAAATATTTGTTGTTGTTTATGTTATTAAATGAGAGAAAGAGTGATAATTTTAGTAGAATGCTAACTAGTACCGTAACAACTGTCTTCTCCTTTCTAGATATAGAGCTAATTTGTGTTCTGGACAAAGGAATGTGGATGGATGTATCACACACCACTTCCAGGCCTGGCTTTACAATATCCCGTAAGTTCTTCCATGTGTTCCCTGTTCCAACGGCATGTAGGAAAGCAAAGAACTCCAAGGTGGAAAAGCCACACAAAGGAAACAGCATGGATCTCTAAGTCACTGCTCAGAGGAAAGGTGTCCAGGAATCTCCCTGACCAAGAATAACTCATAACTTAAATATGTAATATTAAAAAACAGAAGCATAAACATTTCATTTATAAATGATAAGGTAAAGTAGACAGGTGAAAGCGGCTGGTTCTAGGAGTGCGAATAACGGCTGAGGAGAGAAGAGGCAGATATCACTCTTTTTCATCATGAGCTTCCCATTACTATCTGATTTTTTTAAACATAGCTCTAGCATAATTGTGATTAAGAACTAAAAATTACATTTAAAATACCATGTCCTAAATTTTCTATAAGTTTAAATATTTTCAAAATATAGAGTTGAAAATAAATAAAACTCTTAGACCACTGTGAGGCACACACACACACAAAATATAGAGAGTTGAGAGGAAAGAAAAAACAAGAACTGTAAGCTGGAAATAAGTCAAGGTTCATTCTCTTGAGGCCCTGGGTAAGAGTGTGGGCTTCTCCTGCTTTCCTGGACCACATCGCCACCCTGAAGGGTAGCCCACCTGTTACAGGTCACACAACGGAACAGATTCCACTGCACAATTAGTGCACATGCCATCACGGGTGGCTGACTAACTAGTTGAGTTCATTTAATCTGATGCTAATTTTTGCATTCTTACTTGAAGAACTCCTCAGAATAAAAATTAGTAAAGCTGGGAAGTTAGACAGTTAGAGGTATTCAAAATAAAGAAGTAAGCAAAGTCTTGGCTTGTTTGAGATTTTTTTTCTTTTTACTGTGTGACTTTACATGTAAGTTTGAATTTTTGGAGACATCTAAGAAGCACCCCACTTGAGTATCAAACAAGTACTGTGCATTTACAAAGTGGAAAGAATGGTGCTATAGGTTAGGGATACCACCTTCACATACACCTCGTGTGGCAGATACTAACAATTCATCACCAAATCCCTTCCTACTTGCCAGCCTACACTGATGGGAAGGCTGAAAACCTGGCTTTTTAGCCTCCTTCACAACAAGGAGACATATGAATATATAGTAGTTCTGGGCCGAGAGCCATAAATAGTTCACCAGAAGCTTCTGAGAAAATTTCTACTTCTAAAGATGGACAGTATCACCATCCCTTGCTGTTACCTTCCGGCCTTGAACTTGAACCTGGTGTCTGAGAGCTAGGACAGCTGTCCCGTGAAGGTGAGAGAAAGGAAGAATGAACTTCAGTGATGCAAGGCCTGATGCCAGTGGCCACCAACAGCCACCAACCTTTATACAAGAAAAATAAATTCCCTATTCACTTAAGCTATTATTTTTTCTAATTTTTTTTTATTTCAATTACCGTTGATATTCAGTATTATATGAGTTTCAGGTGGCCAGCATAGTGGTTAGACATTTATGTAACTTATGAAGTGATCCCTTGATAAGTCTATACCTCCCTGACACCACACACAGTTATTAAAATATTATTGACTATATTTCTATGCTTAAGCTGTTATTCTCTTATTACTTACAGCTGGAAATATTCCTAACACAATTTATAAAAAGCTTTAAAATTTTGTAAATGTTTTACATTTTAAACTAGTATTATCATATTATTTTGTAAAGACATTCCATTATCTGAAAGCAAATCATCTTACCTCATTCTTCCACAGGTGATACTGTAGAGCAAAGGCAGTAAAGTCTCTTGGAACACAGAAAAAGTTGCATTCTGAAGTGGAGCCATGAGAAGTATTTTTTACTTGTTCCAAGTTTTTATTAATCAATTCCAGAATCAAAGGATCAATAAGGAACACGGGTACATTTTGGCTCGATGTTAGCATAATAAACTTTTTAACTGCACGCTGTTTGAGAGGAAAAGAATCTCCTTAATTCTACTAAACCAATACAATAATCAAATCTCTTATTAAATTGTATTCATTGATTTTATAAGTATGTATAGAATGTTTTCTCAGTAGACACCATCCTTATTAATTAAAATAATAATAATACACAGTTTCTATAGTCTATTAAGGAAGATGAACAGATATTTATAAAGCAAAATAAAATACATGCAATATTTTATAAGGTACAGAACAGTAAGCTACTAATTAATTGTAAACAAAAGGACAAGAAAATCTTTATAGAGAAAGTGGTATCAGAGATGAAACTTCAAGCTTACACATTTTTCTCTTGGTATTATTAGCTAAATCTTTTCAAGCAAAAGTGGAAGATAAGATACCAGATCTGTCAACCTTTAAAAACAAAAAATCAATTGTATGTGCATACTGCTTAATAATCTTTCTAAACAAATACCTCAATTAAAATATATTGCCAACTTGACCATCCCCATATACAATTCAACTTTCTAATTATTCTGCAATATTTTTAGACATTTTTGTGCTGGGTAGTAAGTAGTCCTCTACTGAAAAAATAAATTTTAAAATTAGAATAGAAACAGACTAAATCACACTGAGTACCTAAGAGGAGCAAACAGTAGCAAATAGTAAATACTCAGAGTAAATAATACCTAAGAGTAGCAAAAATAAATAGAATAAAGGGTGTGTACATTATAGCTTAAAAGCTTACTTCAGTGCAAGCAATTATGATCTCAAAGAAATGTATGCCCTTCAAAAAAGAAAGAAAATTATAGACTGCCAGCCTTCATGAACATAAATACAAAAATACTTAACAAGATATTGAAAATCAATTCCAGTCGTTTTTTAAAAAAAGACGAGAAAAAAAAAAGTAAATATCATGATCAAGTAGAATTTATGCCAGGAAAAAAAGACAGCATTTGAAAATCAATTAATGAAACTCTTCATATCAACAGAATAAAGGGAGAAAAATCTATAAGAATTTTAATACAGAAAAAGTATTTGACAAAATTCAATACCTATTAACAATTAAGAACTCTCAGCAAATCAGGAATAGAACACTTCCTTAATTTGATAAAAGGTATGAACCAAAAATCTATTATTGAGTTGTAGAAGTTCTTTATTTATCATTGATACTAGTTTTTTGTCCAATATGTTTTGCAAATATTTTTAGTCTTTGGCACATCTATTCATTTTCTTAATGCTGTCTTTTGATAAGAAGTTTTAAATGTTGATAGTCTGATTTTTTTTTCTTTTTGGTTCTTGCTTTTTGTGCTTTACACTAGGAGAATAAAAGAGAAAAAAATGGTTTTGAAAGAAAGATGATGAGATGACAGACACTAGTACAAATAAAGTGCTTAATAAATGTTGAATGAATCTCTTTCAGCTTGGTGTTAAATACAAACATGATGAACACATATATGGCTTCATTATGATTATTAATATAAATGTAGATTAGAGCAGGCTCAAAGATTCACCTTCAAAATCCGACTTCCAGGTTGCTATCAATGAAATCACCAATGCTCCTTGGAAACAGATGTGCAATGGACTCTAAATCCAATTAATTCTAAATCAACATGACTATTATCATCTGGCCTTCAGTATTCAGTTTGTTTACAAGAAAGAAAAATGTCTTGTTGAAAACAGGACACTAGGATAGCCTGCCTATTCATCTGCCAGTGTATACAATTTTATCAGAACCTGAGTGGTTTGGTGGGACTTGTTCTTAGTGAAAGGCTAGGTCCTAATAATTCATTCTAGAATTTTATAAGGGCTCAGTATTATACTTATTGATCAGATTTCAATAAGTACCTTTTATTCCTTCTAAAATATTAGAATAAAAGTATTTCAGTACTTCTTTCCCTGTGATTTTGCAACTATTATAAAGAGTGATTTTTAGTACTGTGGGCTGCTCTCTAGGTTTTTGTTCATGTACCTTGAAGTAAACCCTTTTTAAAAAAATCCATTATTTTCTTCCATCTCAAGAATCATTCCCTGAATGAAAAGGATGGGGCTGCCCTACTTTTTCCTGTTATGTTAAGCTTTAAATGATTCACAAATCCCATTAAAAAAATATATCAGTGAATCTGCACCCCTGCTGACTGCTTTATATACCAAAGGTTTCGGAAATGTTGTTGGTTAATCTGGACAGAGTAAAAGCTTCTATCTCACTGATGCTATTTCAGCTTTAAAACATTTTCTGAACATGCTCTTTCAATTTACATATGAGGACTCTTAATAAATGGCAAACCTGGAAAGTATATATAACCAAAGTATCATCATACTTTAGAATGTTAAAATTTATGATAGAGAATCCCCATTATCTTCAGATGGGTATATTTCCCAGCTGCTAAATACAGAATTTCAAATTTCAACACATTATTTCACTCACAGGACAATAAACCTGGTCCAAGTATATTATATATGTGTTTTTCTCAAGGGTGGGATGAGGAAGAGTAGGGCTAGACGGAATGCACAAAATGCCCCTTTTTATTTCCTCTGCTAGAGTCTTTACAACTGTGACTGGGGAGCATTCACTCCAAGTGTACCATACTTCCCTTTCCCTCAGACTAGCCTAAGTACACAGAGCAGAACATCTGCTATGTTCAATAACTAAAAGTTCACATTGAAATATCTACCTATGGTGTCAGGTGGGTGCTACACTTATCAGGGGGGTCACTTTGTAAGTTATATCACTATCTAACCACTAAGCTGTACACATGAAACTAATATAATATTGAATGTGAACTGTAATTGAAATATTGTTTTTAATGTTTTAAAGTTCACACTGATACTTCTAGACTTGATAGTTGAGGAACCTAATAATAGAATATCTCAGACTTTACCCTTGAAACAGTTCAAATCCAATTGGTGCCACCAATGACCTAAAATTATCACTAATACTTTATTGCTGCTGATGACTTGAAAGCCTACTTCTAAGCTACAGCTTTTCATGTTTCTGGTTAAACAGAAGCCAAAGACTGAGAAATATCTGGTCATATCCAAAATGTATACTAACAGGATAAATTTAATTTTGTATTAGTAACCTAGCATTGTTTTTCATTCTAAGTTTAGGAAAAAAAAAAGGGTAAGCAATTATGTTTTATAAATGTGTAGACTCTGAAATTAATAAACCAAAACAGGGATATATTGTAATATTGCTAGTTTCCCTTATCTTATAAAGGAAACATGTTGAATAGGTTTTTATTCCTAATCATTATTTTATAGTTCAATTCTTTTTTTTTAAATTTACAAATATTTAGTGGGGGAAATGTTTTTCTTTTTATAGTTCAATTCTTAATAACATATTTATTCATTTGGGGAAGCACTATAGCTCAGTAAATGAGGGTTTGGGAGGCAAACAGAATCTGGACTCAGTCACTTACTAACAACCTAACCTGACTCTTTCTCAGTGAACTAAGGATAACAATGTACTGACTTGTTAGAGTTTCCATGAGGACTAAATGAGATACTGCATATAAAGCACTTGGCATAGGGCCTGCCCCTTCCCCTTGACCACCTACCCCCACTCCTCACCAAGGTAGCTATTATCACTGTCATCATTCAGCAAATACTTATTGAGTATATAAATGAATAAACTAAAATGAACATTGTAGTTAAGGAATTTCTTGCTTATTGTACATACCCACTGTATGCTATCAAATCCAATTCGGCTTCCTTTGGATTTTGATAAACCAGCTCCATTCTAGGAAGATAACAAAAGAACATTTTGGTAAGTTCAGTAACCAGCAAGAAACATTACATTTAGGGGAGGCATGAGATTCAAACTGCGTAATTGGTTCATAGTCTATAATAATAAAAGTGTAATATGCTAATTAGAACGGAGGACCTTCCAGACAAAGCCAGGGCTGTGAGGGAAGCTCGGGTCCCGGATGCCTGCCAGCAGCCAGAGGGAAGCCTGGGTCCCGGGTGCCAGAGGGAAGCTGGTGTCGGCAGTCAGGGGAAGGAAGGCCTACTCTTGCACGAATTTCATGCATCGGGCTCTAGTCATTAATAGGCATTCAGCAAATATCTATTTTCATAGAGTTATGAGCCAAGAATTCTATAATTATACATCTATCCAAGATAGAAAACAATGACAGATTGCAATAAGCTAATTAAGTTGTTAAACAATAAAATATACATGGCCAACATCTCCAAACTAATTAATTTCCATCAATAAATAGCAAACTTTTTGCTATTCTAAATCTCTTTTGGGGGATTAGGATTTTTCCATTTAGCTCTACATCCCTAAGTTCAGCTTATCTCCACACAATGAGTTAGTGTTAGGACACCTTGGCAAAATGGTAAGAAAGTATAATAATATTTATGAGCAGCTCCTAAGTGTACTGTGTTTGACACTTCCATACATGAATAATGTACTCTCATCTATCCCACATAACAATCCTGCACAGTAGGCATTGTTTCTTTTTCACAGCTCCAATGCCCATACTTTTCCTAACATACATCATAATTTCAAATGTTGAGGTTGTTTTTTATTTTTTTAAAATATATTTTTATTGATTTCAGAGAGGAAGAGAGAGAGAGAGAGAGAACAGAGACAGAGACAGACAGGGAGAGAGGGAGAGAGATAGAGAGACAGAGGGAAACATCAATGATGAGAGAGAATCATTGATTGGCTGCCTCCTGCACGCCCCCTACTGGGGATGGAGCCAACAACCTGGGAATGTGCCCTGACCAGGAATCGAACCATGACCTCCTGGTTCATAGGTCAATGCTCAACCACTGAGCCAAGCTGGCTGGGCAAATGTTGAGGTTTTTAAAAAAATGTTTTTTAAAATACTCAGGCCTAAAGAATCAGTTTTCATCAGATAAGCCCCAAAATACTTTGAAAGTAACAGGAAAAAGAATGTCTAATGTCTAGAGACAAGAGAGAAACTGTTTCAAGCTCAAAGAAGATCCAAGAGGTTTCTTATGTCTTGAATGTGTTCTTTCTCTACAAGGTATAAAAGGGAGGATATTGAAGAACAATTAGAATAGTCTCACCCTAAAAATGAAATGTGCTCCATGTTTCTAAAAAGACTCATCTCACCTTAAACCACAAACTAACTCAAGGGCAGGGAGGAAATCCAATTCACCTTTGCATTGCCATGTCTATCATGGTGCCTGGTAATTAGTAAATGCTCAATAAAAGTTTGTTAAATGGAGGGAAGGAGGGAAGAAAGGAAGGAGGGATATACTGAGTAATTAAAGCAGGGTCAGAACTGGTCTCTCCTCACAAGCTCAGCAATTTAGACAGTAACATTTTAATAGCAAGGGATAGTTGAGAAAAAACCAACAAAGAGGCAGCTCTATAATTCCCATCAGTATAAAAACAGGATATTGCCCTAACCCAGTGACGGCGAACCTTTTGAGCTCGGCGTGTCAGCATTTTGAAAAACCCTAACTTAACTTTGGTGCCGTGTCACATATAGAATTTTTTTTATATTTGCAACCATAGTAAAACAAAGACTTACATTTTTGATATTTATTTTATATATTTAAATGCCATTTAACAAAGAAAAATCAACCAAAAAAATGAGTCCGCGTGTCATCTCTGACACGCGTGTCATAGGTTCGCCATCACTGCCCTAACCGGTTTGGCTCAATGGATAGAGCGTCGGCCTGCGGACTCAAGGGTCCCAGGTTTGATTCCGGTCAAGGGAATGTACCTTGGTTGCGGGCACATACCCAGTAGGGAGTGTGCAGGAGGCAGCTGATTGATTTCTCTCTCATCGATGTTTCTAATTCTCTATCCTTCTCCCTTCCTCTCTGTAAAAAATCAATAAAATATATATTAAAAAAAAATAAATAAAAATAAAAACAGAATATTATCCCCCCTTTCTTAAAACAATTTTTTAAAAAACCCTCTTGACTTCTCTTTTCCCAACTAACAATTTTCTGTCCTTTATAGCAAAACTCTGAATGGCTGTGTGTTTTCATTGCCTCTAATTGCTCTCCTTCCACGAATTCACTTGAGCTTAAATTCACTCTGGACTTGTCTTATTTTCTCTATCAAGAATTGCTGTTCGCTCTGCCTCTCTTAAACATTGCATTAACGTGGCCCTCAGGATCCCCATACGCTTGGTCTCCCTGCTATTCTCTCTGGCTACTCCTTCTGAGCCTCATTTCCTGTTCTTACCACCTTCCTGACATGCTGGAGGCTACCAAAGCTCAGACCATGAAACTTTCCTCTCTCATTCACTCTACGTTCACTTCCTTGGTAACCTGTCTACTCCCATGGCTTTAAATACCACCTCCCAATTAATATTCCCAACTAGACCAGTTCTTTGAAATCCAAACTTATATACCCATTGTCTATTCACTTGGATGTCAAATAGGCATCTCAAGCTTTACATGTGCAAAAAAAACCCCTTCTGATCATCACTATTCCTCAGTTTCTCCTAGTCTTTCCCATCTCAGTAAACAGCTTCTACTTTCCAATTATCTAGACCAAAAATACTATAGTTCCCCAATCTTTTCTGCCTTTCATATCCTACACCTTGCCCACTAACAAGTCCTGATAGCTCTTCTTTCCACTTCTCCACCACCAGCACTCTACTCCAAGACATCAGCACCTCATGTAAATTACTAGAATCACCCTCTAACTCAGCAGTTCTCAACCTGTGGGTCGCGACCCCTGGGGGGGGGGTCGAATGACCCTTTCATAGGGGTCGCCGAAGACCATCGGAAAACACATATATAATTACATATTGTTTTTGTGATTAATCACTATGCTTTATGTTCAATTTGTAACAATGAAATTGGGGGTCACCACAACATGAGGAACTGTATTAAAGGGTCGCGGCATTAGGAAGGTTGAGAACCACTGCAGTCTAACTGCTCTGTGTTTCGGGTCCTGCTCCTACAATCTATTTCCACAGAGATGTTCTATCAAACTTATTTATCATTGATTTCTTTTCCATGAGAGGCAATCTGTTTAGAAGAATAAGACTTTTTATATAACTACATCAGAAAACTCCAATAGATTAAACATCACTAAAGCCTGGCACCTTTGACTTTTAGTATGTTGTTAGAATAACATTTAATTGCAATTTTGAGTTGCTTGCTATACCCACAAAGATGGAAATTGCAGTAAGAAATATTTCTGCAAAGATTTGAAAAACTGTGATTAATTTATGTGCTGCACAAGGGAAGTATTTAGGAAAACATACAGCTAAAATGATGCCTAATGATGAGAAAAGAGAAAAAAATTACCTTTGCTGATAAATAGTGCTTGTAGTAGTACAACTGAAATAACAGAAACGCAGAACTTGTCAAAGTTAAAAGCGCCAAAATCACGTTCTTATTGATTCTATTCATCAGTCTGTGGTGCTCACTTGGTTGACTTTCGAAAGTAACCCAGTTGGTTTCATCTTTTTGGATGAGAAGATAATCTTGTTTTTCATGAACAAAAAGATATTTCTAAAGAGGAGACAAAAATCTGTTTTTAATTTTTCACCTCTAATAACCAACAACTTAAGAAAAAGTTATCTAAAGCTCTATAGAACAGTCTTTGATTTGGTAATTTCCTATCCTGAAGAAATAATCAGTTCTGAGATAAAACATGAAAGAACAAAAATGTTTATCATGACATTCTTTACAACTGCAAATAACAAAAACCATAAGCAAGATCTGTATAAAAACTGACCAACAGAGATTAGGGGCTTCTCCCCCACAGTTCCTGACTCAGTAGATCTGGTGTGGGACCTCTGAATTTACATTTCTGACAAGTTCTAGATGCTGCTGCTGCTGACCATGCTGAGAACCACTTCCACAGGTAGAAGAAACCAAGGAAGTTTTGGTCAAGGAACATCATCTGTAGGATAGTTCTTTGTTGTTTCTTGTCATCTAGGTAGGATGTGATCAGTGTTTACAAATATCCCATGTATGTTTTCAGTTTTTGCAAGTGTAAAGGCCATGAGAAAAATTTTTGTTCTTTCATCTTTAGACCCATCTGATTATTTCTTTAGGACAAGAAATTTAATATCATTCTACTTTTTCTTACCACTTCTCCACTGTTTGATTTTGGTTAAATATATTTAGTTCTTCAAAGGTTTATCTTTATTCCTTTAAATATACTAACACCTCTATTACTTGATGTCTAAACTTTATGGTTTTTGTTCTCTAGCTAAAAATAAGAGGAAACAGCAAATTTAAACTACCTCCTACCTTCTCTTTCAATCCTGAATTTTATTAGTTATTTTTACCTTGTTACAATTCTATTATATTCTACTAGAG